GAATGCTATTGTACCCACAAAAATGAGTGTGCCATACCTATTATGCATTTGATTGATCCAATCCATTATTCATCATTTGTTTATATTTAGAATTTTCGATTGCAATATTTCAATTGGTCCAAGTCCAGTACGTTGAGGGTGCCGTAGAATTAGTCTTTTGTAAATTTATATGGTTATTTTAAAAGAACAATTATTCTAGTTAAGTAATTTAAATTCATTTTCACCAACAAAACATAATTATTAATATTAAATTTTTGTTATACACGATTAATAAGTTCAAATTCGATTACGTATGAGTCATGCAATGAGTTTTAGGCCATGTTTGATAACTCTTGTTTTTGGTTTATCAATGGGCTTATTTTTCGAACATGTAACTTTAATTTGATTTTGTGCGATGAATTGTGAAATAATTAAGATAACTAAGATTAAAATTACTTTCCCATTGAATTTGTTATTAATTAAGCAGATTAATCCAATCCGACCTCTTTAATTTGAATTTTATAAATTTGTGCGGATTTAATAGATTGAGCCAATTCTAGTGTTGTTAAAAGTGACTCATAATTTCATCATATTTTGCCCCCAATAGATTTTTATCCTGGATCCGCCACTGGGCAGGGGTCAGGGTAAATATGAGAACTCCTATTTATTATTAAAGGAAAAAACTTTGTTTCTAGCTTAATTCAATCAAGTATGTGAGTTTAGTATTTAAGCTTAGAAGATTTTCACCCATGTTCACCCACGAAAACATGTATATATACCTGAGTCCTCGAAAGTATATATATATTAACTACACTTTTTACCCAGGACTTTTATCAAACATGTTGGGGACAAAGTTCTTTGATAAAGAAGATCAATATGATCAAACAAAATATCTTTCAATCATTAGAAATCAATAGCAAATAACAATAGAATATGAGTATAGCCTTCCTTTTAGGATAAATTGCAAATTAATCAAATACAAAAGTAATTGAGAGATATACAATTAAAGTGATTAATATCAACCCTAAACTGAAGTGTAAGCATCGATTTTAAATATGGGGATTAAAATTAAAATACGTTAAAGCAAGCACCAATCGTTGGTTAAGAATAGTGAAAAATATATAGATAAATTGTACCTGAAATTGGAGGTTGAAATTCAAGACCAGACGTCGTGGAATGAAGGAGAGTGTTTGAAGCGGAACATATGAAACTGAAAGAGATGATAGTTGTTCGTGTTAACTAGGACATGAATACGGAGGTAGTTAATTAATTATTTTTGGGTAGGAAGAAAGAGTTGGAGTTTTAGTAAATTGGATAGAAATGAGAAACTAAAATTTGGGCGCTTGAGTCTCGATCTTGATCGATAGACGTACATTCTTTCCCCATAATGAGTGTGTTGTAGCTCCTAATTTTAATCTAAAATCTAACTGGCCCCTAATTTCTAGTGTGTTGTAGCTCCAAGTATATACGAAGTAATCTCTAAGCTATAATGAGTATGCCACATTCAAATAAGCTGCATCAATAGTTTTGAATTTAGAAGTATTTGTTGTGGGTTGAGTGACCATTTTTCTTACTACGTATTTCGATTCTTCACTATTCATTTACAAAACTGAATATCTTTACTTTTATTAATTTGATAGATCATATAGAATATATAAAAAACAATACAGAGTAATACATATGTGTTTTGTATGTATTTTTATACTTATATAAAAGCATGACCTTCATGAAAGTGTATTTCATGGAAAATAACATGTTTACCGGATTGCTATTTTTGAAAGTGTTTGCGACTGCTTCTACTTTTAAAAAGTAAATTTCTAAATTGATTTGGAAAAAGTGGTTAATAGTGAAAGTTGGAGGTGTTCGAATAAAAAGTGTTTCTGAAAAAGTAAAAGTTGATAGTGTTTAATAAAATAAGTACTTTTTTGTGTATATATAGTAGTAGAAAAAAGTGAAAAGCAGTTTAAAGCATCCCTCAATTTGTTTCCATCTTTTAGCTTTTAAGCGTTTAATTTAAGCAAAAGTTGTCATATGAAAACATCAATCTCAGATTTTTTAAAGTCAAAAGCTGAAAAGGTTTTTTTTTAATTTTTTGCAAACACTTCCTTCATATTCATAAGGAATTTTGAAGTTAAATTCAAGTCAAGACAAACTCTACTATTGAATTGTTTTTAATTGAACCGAAACTTCTTTGTTTGATCTAGTATGGTTTAATCTGGTCTAGAATGGTTTGGACCGGTTTGATCTGGTAAAAATCTGGTTCTATGTATTTTACAATTGTCCAAGTCCAGTATAGTCTAGTTCGATTTGGACTAGTCTGAAACTGAATACAATCCAAGTAATTAAGAACATCCTTAGTTAGGGAAATCAACCTTTTTCTATTCCTTAATTTTGTATGGAAAGCATGCACTTGGGTGAAAAAAAGCTAACCACACAAAACATGTATTTTGTTTACCAAAGGAGCTTTTGTTTGACAAAATTATTTTGTATGGAAAAAAGATATGTGTATTTAAAAAACTTTCTCCATTAGTGATTTATTTTGTCGTGACAAAACACTTTAGACTGCAAATTTTATTTTGTATGCAAAGCACTTTTGTAGGGAAAATGCTAACCTCACGAAATAATTTCTTGTCTGGGAAATGAGTTTTTGCCGACATAAGTAATTTGTATAGAAAACAAATATTTATAGTCAAAGTACTATCCCACAAATGATTTATTTTGTCATGAGAAGATACTTTACACCACAAATTTAATTTTGCATGTCCAAATTTTGTAGGCAAAGCATGATTTTGTAGTAGTGCGGATTCTATGGCATACATCTCCACCTAATTCACCATCCTTCTGAATTATGGAACCCAAGTAACGGAACATATCACACACTGGTATCTCCTTACCATCAAGAGTAATCCTACTCGTGTTACAATCCCACTATTGTTACTAGCTACTTCTACATTGATATAACATTTTAAAATGAGCATAACAGAGCTATTAAATAGACATACATAACTTACAAAATGAGTTTTCAAAAATTCAAAAGCTCATTTGTGTCTGTTCATTCTATTTAGGTGTTTTACTCATTTGAGTTTAAATTAAATCTCATTTCTAATGTGCTCAGTATTAATATATAAAGTTGAACATTCAATTAATTGAATCATTAAAGCTGTGAGATAAAAGGGAATTGAAAAAGGAGAAAGTTGCAGACTCTGAAAAAATGCAACAATTGCGGATTCTATTTTTAGCAACAGAAGAAGAGGTATTTTTGGAGCTTCGATGTGTGGCGTAACAGAGGAGTCGAGTTGTCCAGAGTTGCTGCAAAGTCCGCTAGTGAGCGAGGAAGATGATCGGCATGATTCTATGCGGATGACTGAGCAAGAAAGATGATTTGTGTGTTTTATGCGGATGACTGAGCGAGGAAGATGATCGGCAATTCAAAGATCAAGGATGTGAAAATCATTAATTGAAAGGCTTAAAGTTGATAAATATTACTCCCTCCGTCCCACTTCAAGGTTGCCACGCGGTTTACTATGTTTGACTGATCATAAAGTTAACTGATCTCTGTCATTAATAGAATTAGTTTTAGTAAATACAATTTATATATTCAGAAACTACATTAAATCCGCTACAAAACCTACACAAAATAATTTAAATTTCCTAAAATTTTGATGTATAAAGTAAAAGGTTAAGAACAATGCACGTTGACCGGAGAATAGTGGACGAGAACCTTTAAATGGGACGGGGTGCAAAAAACAACTTTGCTTGGTGTACACCTTTTGTGTACATCTTTTGTGTACACTCTGATGTATGATATAAATTGTGAAAAATATACTCCGTATATATATCATGTATTCGTTCAATATTTATTTATGTTCAGATTATTTATATTAATTTGAACTATGAACAAATTATGGTACTCAAGGATAGGTAGAATTTGCCTAAATTTAATTATGGGAGAGAGGTACTCCGTAGTATACTTCTAAAGAAAGAAGGATATATAAAATGGGAGATAAGCATATTATTATGCATTAATAAGGAGGCTGTCCTAGTCCACTTCCAATCTGATGGGCGGCAGTGTTGATTTCCTAGAAATCGCTCGTTACCGCCTCCCTCCGTAATTGCCTATTCACCTACAAACAATACTACTACTAATTAAATACGGAGTACTAATTAAATTAAAATAACACTCCGTAGAATACTAGGAATAATTATACAATACCTTTATTTTGTTTTTGAGAGAATACAATCCCTTTATTTAAGAAATGTCTTCCGTTTAAAAAATAAATTTCGAATTTATTTTGGTCACATAATGAGCCTTGTTTCGTAACATTGAAATTGACTCGTGTTATAATAGATGAAACAGTTGAGTTGGCTGAATCTGCTGAATTATAAATAATCATATTTAAAATATATGCCATTAATAAAATAAAAATAAATGAAAAAGAGCTAATTAAATTTTATTTATTTTGATTATTATACAATTGAACACGTGAAATCAAAAGTCAGGTACAAAATATTTTTATGGAAAGTTAAATGATAAAATTGATAAATCCAAAATGAGTCAAATCCAAAGGATTCTTAGCATTCTTGGTTTAGAGTACTCCCTCTCTTTCAAAACAAAGTCACGCTTCTTTATTTGGTAAATAAATCTATATGAATACAGTAAAAAATAATGCAGAATAGTGTTAACACTATTAAACTGTGTCAAAACAATGTACTTTAAAGTAAAATTTACCATTCACTAAATTTATTTCTTTAATATTTGTGAAATCAAAGTGTGACTTTCATTTTGAAACAAGGGAGTAATACTAAGGGATTTTTTCCATTACATTATTTTATCATTATTCTTTTGTTCAAATCCAAGTCATTCAAGTATTATTTTTATATTCTTATATTTGTGCCAATCTAATTTGAAAGGAAATATGATGCGGATCAATAAAAATAAAAATATTACTACGTATTATTATTACTATTATTATAATTATTACAAAATCGGGTATAAATATAGCCGAGTAAGTTGATTGCTAGTTTAAGAAATCAGTTTGACCACTCCCGACCTCTTCGTCTCCATCTCTCTACAATGAAGAATAATCAAAACTCAGTAGTGGCCACCATCAAGGTCCTCTCCCCTCCGATCAATCTCTTCGCCGTCTTCTTCTTCTTCGCCGTCGGCTTAACCTGCGGCATCATCCTCTCATTCTACGCCAAAAACTACTCCTTGAACGTCCAAGTCATGGACGCCGTCCAACGCCGTGCCCAGCCGGCGAGTACCCAGCAGACGCCGCTCGCGCCGCCGCAGGAGCGGGTCGGGCTGAGGGAGTTCTTGCGTCCCCCGAAGACGAGGGGTCACGACATGAGCGACGAGGAGCTGCTGTGGCGGGCATCGGTGGCGCCCCGAATCGAAAAGTACCCGTTCCGGCGGGTGCCGAAGGTTGCGTTCATGTTCCTCGTACGAGGCGAGTTGCCGCTAGCGCCGCTGTGGGAGAAGTTTTTTGACGGCGTTGACGGCCGGCTTTTCTCCGTGTACGTCCATTCCGATCCGTCTTCCAATGGGACCGTGACGCCGCCGCTTGGTTCCGTGTTTCACGGGAAAAGAATTCCCAGCAAGGTATGTCCTTTTTTAATTACTCCATATTTAATTTTTATTTTTCGGCCCCGTCTCACTAAATTTTTACCAAATTTAGTAAAATTTATGTGATTTAAATCAATTTTATTTTATTCTTATTTTATCTACTTAGAAGTCTCGAGTTCTAAACCCGCTAGGTATGAGAGTTTGAAATTCAATGAGTGAGTTTCAGCTCTGATTAGTCATACCTCCCAACCCTTCCCCTAGACACCTTGAAGTAAAAAAAAGAAAAAGAAAAAAAATCTGATGGCTTGATTTCGAAGAGCTATGTTTTTTTCATTTTTGATTTAGAAGAGCTATTTTATGATGTAATGGCTCGAGTAGGCTTTTCTAATAAATATAAATAAATAAATTAAACTTTTAAAAAGTGAATCAGAAGGAGAAGGGGAAAAATCAGAAACAATTCAAAAAAGACACAGAGAAAAGGTAAAAAAAAATTGAATATGTTTACTCCATGTTTTGATAGGTTTGCGGTCTCTTTTATGACAAGTAGAACCAGTAATACGGAGTATTTTTATAAAAGGAAAGAGTTTCAAATAGACATAATGAACCATGTTAGCAATACTACTCCGTATAAAATACTCTCCGCGCCTTTTTTATATTTCCAAGTCAATCAATTAATTTTAAACCATATTATGACTGCACGTATAAGGAACTTAAATAAAACCGAGAAATAACAAGGTTATATAATTATATACTACGTGTGTGTGTATATATATATATATATATGGTATAAAATCGAGTTATACATTATCATCTTGTCCTTTGTTCTGTTTTTATCCCTTTTCATTCCTCTCATTGTATTTATTTCATAGTCCCACCTTCAGTCCTCCCCTTGTCGACATAAACCTACCTTTATCACACAGTTTTTACTTTATTATTTTATTAAAGTTAAAAAGATAAAAAAGTATCATAATTCGTAATATTCGTGTGATTTCAATATATATAGGACCAATCTACATTAGGATCATGGTGATTTAAAAATATGTTGCATAGAAATGCGAAATGATGGGGAAACTAAAAACGGGAGATGTCAATTTTTGTTCAGAAAAGCTTGTTTAGAGAGTTTCCGCAGAGTTTTTGAAATGCAAACGTACTCTTTCCCGAGAGTTTTCGTGTCACATCTAAATTAAAGTTCCATAACCAATTCCATTTTGATTTTGTGTGTGTACACTTTTACATTTTTTATTTAGTCACTCCACTATCACTTTAATAAGCTTATTATAATTATTACACCTTAGTCCAATGTAACATAAATTACTGAATTGTCCTCTAGCTAATCGGGAGGGAGATGGGATGATGAGAATTAAATTCTTGTGTAGGGAAAGAAAAATAAAGTAAAATAAAGAAACATGATGCGTGTGTTTTGACACTACACAAAGAATGGCATTGAGTGATCACCAAGCCAATTAATTGATTCCCATCCTTGATCTTTCAAGGGTAATTAAGTCAAATTGATATTCCAATAGACCTACTTCTCTCACAAGCACTGGCCAGGCTAGCTAGCGCATAATAAGCTGTTTGGATGTGCCCTTTACAATTGAATAGTAATTAAAGAACACAATTAGTTGGATGTGTTCTTTACAATTAGTTGTCTACACTTGAATTGTGGGATTGGAATATTTTTAGTGAGGTGTTGGGAAAAGTTTTGCATTTTAATTTGATCATTTAAAAGGGCAAATTAGCTATTTGTCCATAAAACTATTATTTATACAGCCTTATAGAGTAGTTATTATAACCCAACTAGGACACACCTATGACATAGTAAATCCACATTGTTGTAGTAAATCCCATAAAATGTGTTTATTCTTTGACAAAAAAAACTTCAAAAGCGTGCAAAAGTGTGTACAATAATATAGTGTACAAAAGTTCCTTTAAATCCAAAAAAACTCCATTAGGTGTAAAGTTTTGTAGATTACATTATGTTTGTCATGAATTAATAAAGTATACTATATACTCCCTCCGTCCCACTGACAATGGGACAAGAGAGAGGGGTACGCAAATCAATAAAAAGTGGTTTATGTGGTCGATATTGAATTGATAAAGTAAGAATAAATCAAGAATGATTTAGAGTCACACAAACTTTGCCAAATTTGGTATGAGACAATCTTAGTGGGACGGACTGATAAGGTAAAACGGGACAATCATAGCGGGACGGAGGTAGTATGTGATAACTGATAAGTCTCAAACTTAATGTTCACATTTAACTATTTAGGACAATTAAGGGTCTCTTGCCTTTTTTAAAAAGAAAATAAGCATGGTAATTAGTAACTTAAACTTAGTGCTTTTTAATATAAACACACCCATAATAACGTTATCATTGATCAATGACTCGGTCTAATTATATTCTCATCCCAAAATTATGTACCTTTTACAGTTTTTCTTTCTCCTACACCCTATGCTCTCCCAAAATTGTTTGTCAAACAATGCCATTATTAAATCACATCTTCCTACATAAATATTTTTGAGACTTCACACATATATGACATAAGTCACATTACACGTATCCAAACATACAAAGCTAACTTTTATTTTTTTTTATTAAAAGTAATAATCATACGAATTAATTCCATTTTTGGTCCTACGAGTTTTGTGTCAATACCATTTTTAGTCCACGTCTTTCACTTTGTCCACTTTTGATACTTGACTAATGTTTTTTAACCGTTTGTGGTCCTTTTCCGACGATTTTAACCATCGGAAATAATGCCGGAAGGACCATATATGAACGAAAACAAAATAATCATGTATCAAAAGTGGACAAAATGAAAGATGTTGACTAAATATGCAACTGACCTAAAACTCGTAGGATAAAAGTGAAATTTATTCTAATCATACTGTGAGTTTTTTTTCCTTTGAATTACGTGACTGCCTTTCATCATTACATTCCAATGATTTGCCAAAATGCTTTACAAAAAATGTTTTATAAACAAATATTTCCCTTTTTACCCGTTTGCCTTTTTTAGAAAATCAGTTTAGGATTCCTAATATCTTTCACTCTTTTGCCTTTATGTAGATCCATATATATTTATCACAATATCACGTAGTTTTTGTTTGGGGAAAAAACTGGATCTAGTCATGGTCGGTGTTAATTAGCGGCGGATCGGTGTAAAGTTGCTAAACGGCATAATGTTCCAAACCTTAAAGTTCATAGGATACAATGACGAGGGGTGGTTGGGTGGGGTTGGGGTAGCTAGGTGCCAGGTCAACTTTGATGAGTATACTACCGATGCCGTAGAGAAGAGAAATAGACAATGCCTTTACTAGTGTTACATCACTTCATAGCTATATATTTTGAGATTTTTTTGAAAATAGAAATAAGAGTTCTTTTTTGTGTGTGAAAATAATTAATGAATGTGAAACAAAATGTTTATTAATTACTTTGCGAACCATTAAAAATATATATGCTGCCAAAGCATTTTAAAAATAACAAAACAGACATTAATTAATGTATTGCGTAGTATACTTTAGATAGGAAAATTCGCATTTACGGTACATTTCCTTACGTAGGCAAATAAAACAATGTCACATGGACATTAAAATTCATATATATTTTAATTATTTTCCATATGCTACAATATTATTGGTCCGCGTACGGTACAATCAAATTAACGGGTGCAGTGGCGGAACCAGGACTCATGACTCGCATGGGCACAATAATAAAGAAATGATATACTAGTCTAGAAAAAAATCATATGCATCACGAGTATAGCAATAAACAAAACTATAAAATTTAAATAAAACCACTGTTTTTGGAATGATCTGTTGCACTCATTAAAATCACTTTGTGGAAATTTAAAGTCACGCGGTTGGCAAGGACCTTTTCTCAAATAACGTCTCCTCAACTCATCTCTAATATTAACATCATAAGTCTCAATCGGCATAACTTTTCTGTCCAGCACTTTTCTGTCCGAACGCCGTCCGAACACCGGCGTTTGGGGCGGTTCCCGGCGGAATATTTTGATGAAAATTATTGAGCATGTTCCTCATCAAGTCTAGTTTATCCATACCAAACTTCAACTCAAAATTCAATCGGGAAGGCAGTCAAATAATTCGTTGAAGTTAACTGCGCCAAATTATACATAGAAAAACGCAGTTAACTTCGACGAATTATTTGACTGCCTTCCCGATCGAATTTTGACCTGAAATTTGGTATGGATAAACTAGACTTGATGAGAAACATGTTCAAAAGATTTCATCAAAAAAATCTACCTGGAACCGCCCCAAACGGCGGTGTTCGGACGTCGTTCGGACCGGGAGGTGCTGGACCTGAGAATTTTCCAATATATATACATATATATATAAATCACCGCAGGGGCACGGGCAGGGTGGGTCCGCCCCTGAACGGGTGCACGGTAGAACTCCCAAGGCGCAATTTGTAATTAATTTTTATTCTTTTGCCCATTTAATTTAATTGAATTTGTAACATTTGGTTCGTTAGTTCGAGATAATATAATAATAAACGTTAAGTTAATATAAAACTGAATATCAGTTCCGTAGGGAGACCATGTTTCTATGTTACTCGGCTTTAGCAGACAAAATTTTACCAAATAGTCAAATATGATTATTTTGTTGAAAGAATAAGAGGTGCGGTTTGGCAATATAATTATTGTGTTGTGTGTTCATTCTTTGGAACAAATTAATATGCAGTATATATCAAACAAGTCATTTCTTTTATTAAAACATTACCGAGTACGTGCTTCTTATTGTTTTATTCTTTTTTAGTATGGTGAGCATTATATGTGTACATTGTTGGTAAATTTATTTACCAAAACTGAAATAAAATTACAAAAAAAAAACAATATTTTGTAATTTAACAGTTAAATAAATTATTATTATAAAACCTACCCGACAACCAGGGGCAGAGGTGGAGGGGTGGCCAACTGGGCCACGGTCCAGCCCAAATTTTAAAATAGATTATATTTTAATGTAAAAATTTATGTGTAAAAATTTATCTGTAAAAATTTTTACGGATCGCTCAACTCTTACTCTTGTTTACGTCCTCGACAACCCCATTGTCATCTTAATTAGGGTGATAAAGTAAAACGAATTTTCAACGTTAGTATGACTTTTCCCGCAAAACCAGGTGTAAAGTGAATTTAATCTCATCAAGAATCATGATTGGCGAACGTTTTGTTGTCCTTCAGATTCCAACGGTTAGTAACAAGATCAGTGTACATATTCTAGGTGAATTAAATTTTGGATATGGATCATATGACAAACGTTCACTGTTTGAATTGATTTTTTCTAGTGAAGTATTTTTAGGTCAGATCTATTCAAATTTAATATTACATGACTTGTGGTATTAAATATGTATATTAATGAACTTGTATATTAATGTATACTCAATATTAAATATGTCGGGTCGGAGTGGAGCTCCTGGGGTGGGAGATTCCACCTTTTGGATCAATTAAATATGTATATTATGAATGAACTTGAGGCACACAAATGTTATCGAGCTTAATACGGAGTATGAAATTAATTTATTAGTAGAACATAAGAAAAGGATAATATGATACAAAGATATACTACGTAAAAAATACGTACTACATGAAAATTCTCTAAGTCAAAGAAAACATATAAAAACTTCTTATTCATTTCTAGTTTTTTTCTATCAATAAGACTAAATAAGTATTCCCTCCACCCATTTTATTTGTGGTGGTACAAAATAAGTGTTACATTTTCTTTTTTGGAAAGAAATACTACATCCGTTCCGAAAAGGTTCACCATATTGACTTTTTTTGGTGGCGAACTTTTGGCCAATGATTCTAAATATTATATTTGTATATAATTTGTAAAGTCAAACTAATTTCGTATTAAACAATACCATTAGTCAAAGTTGATTGTTATTGATCAAGAAAAGTCAATTTGATGAACCTTTTCGGGACGGAGGGAGTATGTTATACCAAAGTACAAAATTTCACTTTATTATATACGCAAATCTCAACTATAACTTTTGCTTTTTCAATCACTATTAATAATTTCGTCAAACCAAAGTAGGAGACATATATAGGGCGGAGGTAGTATTGTAGTAATACTATTGAAGAAAATATGTACTCCGTATAACCTATTATAGAAGTTTGTTTGTACTCATATTTTTTTTATTTAGTACTATATATACACACACACAAACTAACTTGGCAAGTATATGCAAATTGTTATTGTTACAGAAAGTAGAATGGGGAAAGGTGAACATGATTGAGGCTGAGCGGAGATTACTTGCAAATGCACTTCTTGACATCTCCAATGAACGTTTCGTTCTCCTCTCAGAAGCATGCATTCCATTATTCAATTTCTCCACCATCTACTCTTACCTCACCAACTCCTCCCAGACCTTTGTGGAGGTCTATGACCTACCTGGCCCGGTAGGTCGGGGCCGCTACAACCACCGCATGAGCCCGGCTCTCAAAGTTGGGCAATGGCGAAAAGGATCCCAATGGTTCGAAATGGACCATCGTCTCGCCCTCGAGGTAATATCTGACAAGAAATATTTCCCGCTCTTCAAAGCATATTGCTCCGGGAATTGTTACTCGGACGAGCATTACTTGCCCACTTTGATGAACATCAAGTTCGGGAGGCGCAATTCGAACCGCACCTTGACTTGGGTAGACTGGTCGAAAGGCGGGCCACATCCGTCCCGGTTTAATCGAAACGACGTCACCGTGGAGTTTCTACACAAGTTGAGGAATGGAAGCAAGTGTCTTTACAATGGGGAAGAGACAACGATATGCCATTTGTTTGCCAGGAAATTCACCCCACATGCTCTTAGCAGATTGCTTATTTTGGCACCAAAAGTTATGCACTTCCATGGATGGTGATATTGAGAAGCAACAGCAGAAATGTATAGACCGGCATACACATATTCATTATAGAACCGCTGGGTTAGGTAATTAAACAATCATGAGTGATTTGTTATTTTGACAAAAAAAAGTGTGACAAGATTTCTCTCGTAAAAATGAGCTGATCATTGTTTATTTTCTAATTCTTTTGGTACTATGTGAATATATCACATTCTTTTATTTTTTGTTGCACTCTCTTGCTTTATTGTTTAGAGCCTCTCTTGCTTGGTTTTTTGTCACAACATTTTCTGAAACAGGAGTGAGGCATGTGAGCACCCGCCTGCAAGGGACGTGGTGGGGGCTTGGGCGGTGCAAGGAAAGGTTTCCAGCCAAAACATGGGGCTTAATTAAATGCATAAATATGTAAATGAATATACACACAAACACAAACACATACTATCGTATAACGCATACAAATAGACACATCTATATTTATACAAAAGCAACTCAGACAATAATAAAATAATGCATATATGCCAGACATTAATCAAACTAAACCGAACTACGGAGTATATTTAAAAATATGAGACAAAACTAGACTTAAACAATCCTGTCAACAAACATTCAAATCGAAAACATCCCTAAAACATCCCTCTTCTATAACATTCAAGAATTTGGTTTAAAGACAAAAATGCTTTCCCACACAAATATAATATTACAAATTTACAACAATCATATCTTACAAGTATACTCATCATTATTTCTTTTAACATCCTAACTTTCCTCTTAAGAAGCATGTAGTGTACGAAATCTGCTAACATAACAGGTTGCCCAGATCGGTTAATCTTTTTTAACCATGGACTGATATATGTAGAATATATTCTTCTTCCTTATTTAACATTACCCTTCTCAAGTTGAGCAAGAACGTAACACAAATAATTTTTACAATACAAAACTGTGAAATTATTTTACGCACACAGTAGTAGTAAGTATAAAATAATATTAATAACAATAATAACTCAATTTCTAGTTTTGGTATAAACTGAAGGCAGTTAAATCTTGGGTAGAGCAGTTGGAGGATCAGCAGGAATATAAGAGCTTGCCTGCCAAAAAGAGCATATTATAATTCACAGCATAACGTCTTTTTAATTACATAATTGGAATCATGATGGGGATCATATAATAATAATATAAGTATAATAATTCCTCACCTCCAGATATTTTGATAACATTGTTTTGGTGCTGAAATTAAAGCCTTCAATTGGTTCTCCATTCTTACGGGATGCGTTGAGTTGCTTTCTTACTTGTGTAGCCAATGACTGCATTTAATTTATTTATTGAGAAAACACAAAGTAAATATTGTTACACCTTTAACAAGAGGAATATTATATTTGGAGTGCCAAAGCGTGATTATTTTATTATTGCCAGCAGGGTGAAAAACAAACACCAGTGAAAACCAAACAAGTCACGAGTGTTGAATGAAACTATTTACCTTTCCTAGCTCCACACCCCATTGGTCAAAAGAGTTGATACCCCATACAAAGCCTTGCACAGCAACCCGGTGTTCATAGATTGCTAACAACTGTATGGAAGGCAAAAAAGGTAAAAGGGGTGTGATTAATCAGTCATATAAGAAGCTGATACATATGCTAGCAGCAAAGCAGTCACACACACTATCAAATGTTTCTTAGTAACCATAAATACTTTAAAACGTGACAATTGGAATGCAGAAAACACTAAGAAACATTGAAGATATCAAACCTGCCCAATATTATAAGCATCAAGGGATGGGAATAGTAAGCTTAGTGAAGGTCTGTTGCCTGAAAATGTCTGAAAAAACAAAGGCACAGTAAGGTAAACTCATGCATCTTTGCTAATATGGTCATCCAAATTGAAAGTGTGAAATACTTAAAGTAAAATCACCTTGTGAGACACGAGATGAGGAGGAACATTCTCCTTTTCCAACTGTTCTTGAGACTGAAGAATTGCAGCACACATTAATTAAAAGTGATAACTCCATAAATACAAGTAGTATTCAACTAATAAGTTGACAAGTTGTCAATTTCCTTATAAAGGAATACTTTTATATTATTCTATTTATAGGAAAATATGACTCCTAAAAGAAAATGTTTTTTGGATATTTTGCCTTACGTAGGCACAGTAAGGGTAGAGTTTCACAGTATGTCCATTATTTCATCAGTGTAATGAATGTACCCTGACTCAACAACGATTACAATTATCATCCACCTGAATTCTAGTAATCTACGGCAATTCAAGAGTTATGCAGGTTGTTAAAGGGGTATCATGGTTACTCACAAATTTTAATCCTAAAAAATGAATAAATAAAATGTGGTCCTGTTTATGGACTAGACAACATATTGTTCCTACTTAAGAAAATTTCCCTATTTAAGAAGTAACCTTTTATAAGACAGCAGAGCGATGATATAATCAGAAACAAGGTGATATCAAACAAAATGGAGACGACGAAGCAACTAGCTTAGTTGGTTGTGGAGTCACTCAGTCACCCGGTTATCCTGGAGGTCAGGAGTTCAATTCCCGCCGGGAGCAGTTTGAGCTCTTGTGTATTCCCTCCCCCCGGGACCCCTCAACCCCCACCCCCCAGGGGCGCCCCCCCCCCCCCCCAAAAAAAGAAAATCAAACAAAATGGAGACATTTATTTTAACTGACAAAGTTGTATGACCTTTAGGCAACTAAAATGCTAGACAAGTGAACCACCATATGCTCGTAGTCTCGTACCTTCCCATAAGCAAGGGCATCAGGCTGTGCAAAGAAGTTCGACATGAGCTCATCATGGTTACTGACCACTTCACCTGAAAATTTAAGTTCTGTGAATTTTAGATGTATAACAAAAGCATCCAAAAATAGCAGCTACTGCTGGGTTCTTAACTCGATAGTAAGGCTGACAAGAGGAATGTAGAAAGATCAGAATTGTACCTTTCAAGTATACAGGTTGCTGACTCTTGACAGCACCAATGAAATCGCAAGGAACAACACGGCCCTGCGCATTAAAGTTTTGAAATGTTTGAAATTTTGAAGTTTTCAATGCATTGTGAATTTGTGCCTTTCTATAAAATGGAAATTTCAAAACAGTATTATCAAAACCAAGCCAGAAGCAACTTTTATGGCAAAAATGAGTTGATATTTTCAAATTATGATAACATAATAGGTTTTGGCATTGTTTCATTTCGTTCACATTTCGTAATCAGATAAACGAAATACACTATGCAGCAGACCATGTAAACGAAAGAAAAGACACCTGGTGGATTAGTTGGTAAAAGCTGTGTTGTCCATTTGTCCCAGGTTCACCAAAATCAATTTCACCAGATTCATATGGAAGAGGTACACCATCAATAGATACACCTTTCCCATTACTCTCCATGCTAACCTAAATTCAATCAAAATTCAAGGAAGACAAGTAACCTAAACTCAATCAAAATTCAAGGAAGACAAGAGCAGGAATTGAAGATGTGTGGAAGAAAACGAAAGCAATAAAATTAAAGTCTGAACTCAAAAGCATGCCTGTTGTATATGTGGCGCAAACTTTTCCAAAGCTTGAGAATACGGCAAAATAGCCTGAAATTAACAATAAAAGAAATCTTGAATAAGCTCTTAAGTGTTATGATTTGAAAGATCAAGATGAAAAAACCCACTAAAGTGAGATAAGACTCACTCAAGCAGCAGAATGCAAATCTTTAATACACTTACTCTTGCAGGGTATCCAAGGAATGTGACATTCCATATGCTCAACAAGCCTAAGATCACCTACAAAAAATGATGCAATGTCAAAAGAATTACTAATAGAACAAAAGGTACTCCGGTGGGTACGGCAGGATAATAATTTCTATTATGATTCAAAAGTCCATTCAATTGAGCATCACGTACAGGTATGTTCTTTTCAAAAGGGGTGGAACAAAAATGCTGATCAATACTTGAAGCTCCCTTCAGAAATCTTAACACCAAGAAGCATAAACATGTCAGGAGGCAGTTAGCCATCCAATCAAAACAAAGAAAAAGATAACGGTTATCTTAGAGGGTGGATGTTGGGATATTTGTGCTTGGTTAGTTGGTTAGGAGAAGTAAATATAAGAAGCAAGAATGTGGAGGGCTTTCCAACACTTTCCTCGTCTCCCACTCCCCCTCTTGAGGTATTTTGATGAGTGAACGCATTGGATCCATATGTTTTGGTTCATCAAAGAATGTCAATATGGAACGCTTGTTTGAAGTGAGATTAAAATAAGCAGAGTATATGCACAAACAATAACTGCCCCGAATTCACATACTTGACTTATTTCACAATTCACACTGCGCTGAATTCACATACTAAGGGCAAACTACAAAACAATATTCAACACCTTTCCCCTACCTCTTCAGCCTAACCAAACATAAAAGATATAAATCCCGCCCACTCACTCGTCTTCCATCTTGGGTTAAAGTAGTTAAAACATACCTAAAAAACCTATTGTATATAGGACACCATTTCGGTCTCGGACCAGACTTAACATTAAACATATCAGATCATACCAATATTGATAATAGTGAAATACGCATAGTATCAAACCAGACCACACAAATAAGTTTAAGTAGAAATGAACAGGTCCTTAAGAGACAACCCAAAGCATATATATGTGTCTGTGTATGCAAGTATGACGTATATGCAGGAAAACTAATTGTTGTATAGATAACATACCCACCTATATTACGAACAAAGATTGCACTACATATCTGAGCTAAATAGTACTCCCTCCGTCCCGCTAAGATTGTCCCATTTTACCTTTTCGATCTGTTCCACTAAGACTGTGACATACCAAATTTGGTAAAGTTTGTGTGGCCCTAAATCATTCTTCCTTTATTCTTACTTTAGCAATTCAATATCAACCACATAAACCACTTTTTATTGGTTTGCATGCCACTCCCTCTTGTCCATTGTTAGTGGGATGGAGGGAGTAATTAGGATGAAATGGTTTCAGGTGGAACTGTGGAAGTATTTCAAATAGTTTAAGATTTATTGGGCTATACTCGACACTTTCACAAATTGTAATGAGTTTTATGTATCATGAACTTTTGTTCAGTAATAACATATTGTATTTCAAGTTAAAAATAAGGCAACACACAAAAAACAGTTTTAGAACATTCACGAAATATGTTTTATAGCACCCATTGTCAGTGGTCCCTTCCAAGTTTCAATACTACCACTACCACAACAACATCAACATCCACACCTTAGTCCCAAAA